ATATATATATACCGGAATTGAAGGAGGGGGAGGTAACTACAATTATTAATAAACGCATTTATATGTTGTATAAAAAGTCACAAAATTCTAAGAAATTCTGTCATTATATACATCATTGTTTTTCTAATTGAAATTAAAAAGCAGTCAAAATGACTTCCTTGGGCAATCTAGTGTTAAAGACTTGTTTGTCATGAACCTTTTCTAACCCCCACAGAAGCAGAGAGTAGTATACTGAACCCCCGTGAGCTTATGTCACCCAGCTTCCAGTCATCAGAAGCTTTTCTAGAAAATCGTAAACCCAGCCAGTAGAGGTAACCAATGAGTATTAAAAGGAAAAAAAACTCCAAAAGTTGATTTAATTTAAAATATTTTAGATCTGTGCGACTTGAGATATAGAGATCTACAAACTACATTTCTGCGAGTAAAATTGTTCTGTTCATAGGATATAACCAGAGACGTCTGCAAACAATTGCATGACTTCTCATACAAGCGTCGGAACTGGCGATCCCCTCATTTTCAGGCGGGGAGTCCAGGGTGCGGAGTTGTATGCTGGCCACTGCTCAGGCAGCACACAGGGAATGGGGTGGGATGGGGTTAGCATTCAGGTTCCTACCACACTTACCCTCTGGGGCTCTGCCAGGGGCTGGGGGAGGACTGGCTGCAGGTAACAGGATGTGGGGAGACAGGTAGCTTTCCAGATTCCCAAGCTCCCCTCAGACCAAAGAGTAGTCGCTGTCCCCATCAGTCCCGATTTCTAAGCGGCTTCCTTACCCAGGGTGAATCCTTCCTCCCTCCCGTCTCTAGTGGTTCTCTGGCATTTGACCCTTTCTTCTGAAACTGCCTCCAGAGGCCTTCCTGCCTTGTCCCTGAGGTTCTGCACCTCCTCAGGGTCTTCCTCTGTCCCTCAGCTGTGGCACCCCCAGATCTCTGCCCCCAACCTCCGCCTGTCTTGAGCCCCTTCCCGCTTCTGTGCTCTCATAGATCCTTTGCCTTGCCCTCCTCCCCAAAGGACATCTCCCCTCCAGCTGTGTCACCTGAAGGTCCAGCCAGCATTTCCTCACCTCTGAACGAGACATCTGCTCTTTACAAGCCCCTGCAGAGCACAGTTTTTGAGCTCACTCCCAGAGCCCCCCACATCTGAGTGCTGTGCAAGATACCAGGGCTGCTTGGAAGCCTAGAGGACTCTTAGTTGTCCCAGGATAGGATGAGGGTTCGAGGTACCTCAGAAGAGCAACGTCCCACGGGACTTAGACTTATTCTGCCTAAGGTCATCATCCAGCAGCAAGCAGATGCACTGGGATTTAGGAGAGGGGGGAGGGCATTGCAGTAAGAGGTGTACAGCTTGCAGGTTCTGAGGCACAAGCAGGGAAGATTGTGGTGGTGGAACACAGGGACTCGGGGGCTGAGAGCAGCGGGAAGGGGCTGGGGCTTGTGTGCCCTACTATGGGGCTCCCACCAGACTCTGGTCTGCACCTGCCCCTTTCCTCTGAGGCCTTCTTCCTCTGCTCAGCTTCCTTTTCCAGTGACCACCCTTGTCAGTTAGTCCACAATTATTAAGTGAGGGCTACTCTTTACTTTTCTGCCCATCTGATTACCTACCTCCCCAGACTCTCCTGGCCCCCAAAAAATTTTTTTTAAAGAAAACATGGAATATCACAAAATAAATGAAATTTATAATACGTGGATGAGGAAAACGGGGCATTTCTTCCTTTCCCAAGGCTGCAGTGGGAATTCTTGCTGGGGCAGGGAAGCTATTGTCTGTCTTCTGTCTGTCTCAGCTCTTATTCTTTGCACCTCTTTACTAATCCTTTTAAGGATCAAACTGCTTTAATCATG